AAAATAAGTGAAGTAGGAGTTGTGTTTGTGAAGATAAATGTTTAAGTTTTTTTTTTTTTTTTGAAAAAGATAAATGTTTAAGTTAGGAAATAGAGAATTTATTAGTTGAGACAGATGAATTTTGCACTCGAAAAATCGCCAAGTATAAAAATAACATTATGTTTCAAGTTTTTTTTTGTAGAATAACTCAATACAGAATTGAGAAGAGAATGAACACTTTCACCTCCAGTTTAAACTTAAAAACTCCTTATCTTATACCGTTCTAGAAGCTATCAATCTCAGGTAACATTTGCAGAAGTGTGTAATTGGAACAGCTAGTTTAACCTATGAAAATTCAGAGGGTAGCTAACCGGAGATGCATGATATATATCAATCATAAAATAGCATTTGATTTACAAGAGAATGTTTGCATTTGGATTAAAAAAAAAAAAAGAAAAGAAAAAAAAAAGATAGAGAGTTCTACAAAATAAATTGAAAAAGAAAAACAAAAGACTGAAAAAGATAAGAGAGATCCATAAGGGATGTAGATCTTATTTGTTCAGCACTTGTACTGTAAGGTAGACATGTGGAGCATGATTTCTCCGATAGCTAGTTAATTGAAATATGTCTTCAATCGACAACGCCCCCTCCGACAATTGATCAACACATGCACTTGCCTTATTTTCACAAAATTATCACATCAAAAAATCAACCACTTGAGGATATCAAAGATCCATGATCTGTTTCAGTACAACAAACATGACTTTTCTTCCGTGACAGAGAAAATAATATTTGTAAAAACAAATTAATACTTAATAAAAATCGAGTAATTTGTTCGAATATTTCTCATCTACCAGCACCGAATCTGATTACTTATTTCTCGTGTATATGAAAAATATTTTTGAATTAGTAATCATCTAACTTCAATTTTCATTTCGGAACTATGTAATATGCACAACTGATTCACTAGAAATATCATATCATCCTAAAATGCCTCTCGGATCAAAACGTGCAAGAAAAATTACAAAGTGCGAGATTAACGTGATTAACACCGACACAGTATACCGAGAAATGCATGCGCAAAGGGTGTAATTTTGGACCGAAACGTTAGCGAAACAAACAATTTTGACTCGATTTGTTCTTCATTAGATTGAAACCTAAGAAAACAAAAGTGAGAGACCGTTTAATTAGGCGATTATATCCGTGCGATAAAAAGGCGATTTAGAACTAAAATTCACGTACTGTGATCCACGTGCAACTCACGTGCTTCTATTGCTAAAGAAGACTCAAAATGGTGAAGGAAGCATACTATACTCCTAGAGATCAAATATGTGGGCTAAATACGTGACTTACCCGCGCAAACAACCGTTATATTTTTTCTATCTCAAAAATATATATTTTTTCCGTCCAAAAATTATTGTCCGTTTTAAATTTTCATATTTAGTACCAATTGAACTAAAAGTGAAAATCTAAAATGAACAATAATTTTAAGACAAAGAGAGTACTTATTACAACAAAACCGTTAGTTTTTTTCTTTCGAAATCAACAATCTATTTCTCATTCGTGATTGAAATAGACCGTAAATCCCTTTCAATAAAAAATAAATAAATAGACCGAAAATTTATCGAAATTTGGAGAAGGTATGTTCGAACTCGATGTGATGATGAGATGGGCAATTGCTAATTGGCATCAAGGTTGAAACTAAGAAGAGAGAATATTCAGAGGGAAGAAATTAAGCTTTTAGGGTTTCCAAGGATCTGGCTTGATTAATAGCCCAAATTCTTTGGTTTATTTAATTTCACTTTCTTAAGGAGGTGCAAGCTGCACCTTTTAGCCATACTGCTTGTATTTTACAGAAAGATTGTCATGCACAGTAGTGAGTTTAATTTATTTTATTTTTTATTTTTTTATTTCCCTCTTCTTCAACCAATGGACGCACTCATTTTCAGATTATTATTTTGCAAAGTCTGAGCTCTAGCTAGTTAATGTAAGCATATATTCCCTCCGGTTCTTATGGAATTTCATTTATAGCCAGTGTTTTTCTAATTAAAAATAAAATCTTAAAAATGAAATCTAAACAAATCAAAATATCTTATGATAATAAGGACCGGAGGGAATATATATTACTACTTGGTCAGTTGGTCTTGATTCGGCTCAAATATACCATGAAATATATTCTCTCTGTCCCAAAAAAATAGTCTACATTGAGTTTTGAGATTTGTACTGTTTTTAGTACAATTTTGAAAATTCAATGTGGACTATTTTTTTTGGGACGGAGGTAGTACTCGATCTTATCTATCTAGTTGTAACATGTAAGAGATAGATTTAAACAAATTCAACCTTGATTATTTTATTTTTTTTAAAAAAAAGTTTTAATTTATTCTAAAAGACAAACTAAGGGATTGAAAGTCTATTAATTCTTCTTTGCACCCCCCTCCCCCAAAAAGGAACCTATTAATTAACCACAAAAAGGAGAGCCAAAATGAACTTAAGAAATTAATTTCTGTTCTTCTGGATCAGCAATGAAGAATGTGAAGTGAACATTGTTGTGGCTTCTTGGTCCCTTAGACATTAACTGACGAAAAATTCAAGTTGCTCCATAACTCAACCATTATCAGACTTTTTAAAGCCTGGAAAACTGTTCCGAGGGCATTTGAGCTTGCATAATAATGGAGTGAACTTAATTGCCACATAAAAGCTCCAGAGTATGTGACATAATATTAAGTCGTCTATTTGGCTCAAATTGACAACCAAATATATAACGACAACGGATATAATATAGACAATTGATAAACACAGAGTTATTTTGTTATATAAAGAGTAAAATATTTTTAATTACTAGTAGTACTCTTATGTAAAATTTTAATACAGTCACTGTAATTGAAGGTTTGCTCATCGTTCTTTAAATATCATCTTACCTAGGTCTTCCAAAACTATTGCGCAATTGGTGGGAAATCAAATAATGTTCAAACAGTAATTAATACTTCCCGAAACGTAAGGAAAAAAAGGGACACAGGAAAAGATACAGTATAGTCATGTTTCACTGTTCTTCCCCCACATTCTATCTATGCTAGTTCAAAGATTAATATTTCTTAAGTACAAACTTAATTAACTTGATATATTACGTCAGTTATATCGTGTTCTATCTATGCTAGTTCAAAGATTAATATTTCTTAAGTACAAACTTAATTAACTTGATATATTACGTCAGTTATATCGTGTTCTAATTGAAATTTAAATCTTACCGGTATATCATAAAATATATGAAGGTTAATCAATCTTTAAACATACACATCCTCAGTAGAGATGACATGAGATGGAACAGTTGTATGGTGGGGTGACGTATGGGAAGGGGTGGGTGTTGGCGGCAGAATTTGGGAGTGTGTAGTTAGCAGAATCTGAGGACTTCCTTTTTCCTGGAATTTCTGTTCTGTCGTTTCACTTTTTCAATTCTAATCTGATAGAAATACTATGAATGAATGACTGAATGAATGATGCCGAAATGTTCTTACGTTATTTAGTAATCATTACTCCTTTGTCCTAAGATTATTGTCCAGTTTGAGATTTCACTTTTAGTACAATTTGAACTAGAAATGAAAACTCAAACTGGACAATAAATATGGACGTAGCGAGTATTATTTTTCGTCCATTTGCGGTTTTTGGTTCCTTTATTGTCGTCTCCACTCTCCATCTATTAACTTATAAAAAGATATTTAAAATATCATAACGTTTTCTTAAGGAAAAAAATTAAAGAAAATTTGAGTCACAGTCTCGCAGGACATATAGATTTTGATTGAGGAAGAAGTTCCAGTAAATGAATGGAAACAAAGGTAACAATGCTCGATTCTTTCCCATTCACGTCAGGGTACATTTTTTTTTTCTCTTTATATTACGTACTTGGTCTCCAAATTTTATGTTCCCAGTGATCCAAAATCGATCTGGATAAATTTTTATCGAGAGATAAAAAAAATTCTTCCAATAAATATTTTAATCATTATTACAGGGTTCAAAGTCACTTGGACCAAGTGATTATTGATATTTTAGAATACATTTCTGTTGCTCGCTTGATTGAATAAAAAATATAGAAATAATAGGTATTGTGATAAAATTACATTATTATATAATCGATTCGAAAAATATTACGACCTAATAAATAATGTGCACGTAAAAAATGTAACGCTTGAGAATAGCATACCTTCCGGGACTTGCAGCATACTTGTAAGGACTTGCGGTAAAATTGGAAGGATGAAAAAATGATACATGGATAAGAATGGAAATAAATTTTATACACGGGAATTGATATTATTAACTTTCAAATGTACCCTATGGTTAAATATGCATAAAAAATAACTTGACCATATGGCTAGAGCAAAAATTAACTGACATAAAAAAAATAAAAAATTTTATTTTCTAAATTACTCCAAATCAGTCAAATCCTCCAACTCTTTTCTTTGTCCTCTTACCAAGACTATTTTTCTGGGACAGAGGGAATAATTTTTTGCACTTGCAATATCGCTGATCATGAATATTACTCCCTCCGTCTCATAATTATTATCCACTTTGCCCAAAAAATTTTGTCCCAAAATTATTGTCCAATTGACTTTTTATGGATCAAGTTACACATTTGTCCTTAGTAAAAAACATTATTCATAAAATCTTAGTGGTCAAACAATTACTTATGTAGGGTTATATCCGGTTGTTTAAAGTAAAATATAGTTAAGTTTGACCAAAAATAAAATCTTTCATTTTAGTAAAACTGGACAATAATTATGGGACGGAGGGAGTACTATGTTTCTAGTCTTTTTAGAATACCTTAATACAGAATTGAGAAGAAACTGAACACTTTCACCTGCAGTTTAAACTTCAAAACTCTTTTCTTTTACCATTTCAAGAAGCTGTCAATCTCAGGTAACATTTACATAAGTGTGTGACTAGAACAGTCAATTTAACCTATGAAAATTCTGAGAAGGGAAAAAAAAAACACAAAAAGCAGAAGTTCTAAATTGTAAAACAAATATGTCATGATTTCCATTCTTCATAATAAAAAAAACTAATCTCGTTAAAAGCACATAATATATGAAATAAATAAAATATCCCACAAGGAATTTTATGATTTCATAAACTTATCCAGATAAATTATGTTTACAAATCAGAGCATTAAGCTCGACAAATTTTTTCTGCAACCAGATCAATCAGTACAATACACGTTAAGGAAACCTTTTTTTTTTTTTTGGGGGGGGGGGTGTTGTTTTTGTATAAAATTTATCTTCAAGGTGAAGAAGATAATAGTATTAATAATAATCTATTATACTACTTAAATGATGGAGGAGAAGAGGTGAATCTTTGCTTGATTTTCAAACAACATCCAAAGCTGTCATTTTACATATTGGACAGATGTTCTTCAGAGATAGCCACTGTTTGATGCAGTTTGTGTGAAATTCATGGCCACAGTTCAAAATTCCAATATCATCTCCAGCTGTGTAGTCCTCCTGGTAAAAAGTAAAACCAAGAGACTGCAGAGTTAGAAAGGAATCCAACTATCTCAACGATAAAAGGCCTTCATGGCCTTAAAGTGCAAGGATCTTTCTTCCTTAAGAACCATGGTTTTGCAATATTAAAAGTTAAACAGGAAACAAGTAAGCGTTTTCCATGAATTAGCAGCAGTGGTTGCAATCGCAGGTTATTCAATTATTCTGTGAAGTATCAATGTCAAGGTCGCATACGTGCAAAGTAAACAAAGTAAGGGAGGATCAGAAGGTTTTCGACTCCATATACGTTGCTGTTCAGCAAAACCTCACCTGACACACACAGCATGGCTCTGAGTTTGATGATTCTCCAATGAACAACTGATGCTTCCGCTGTCTCATTGAGTGCATAATGACTTCCTCGCATAATCCAGTGTTCACGTTTCCTATGCGTTCCTCCAATGCCAGTAACTCCTGTGGCAAAATCAAAATTATGTGACATAAGTTTTTAATTATTAAAAAGTACAAAAACAAAAAAAAAAAAAAATCAATCCCAAGACACCAGATTGCATTACCTCATAGGTCATGCTATCAACATCAAGCCTCAGGTCTCTATGTCTGTCATGCGCTTCAAATGCTCCATTGTGAAATGGATGGAACAGCATATAGTCCTAGAATAAAAAATATGGGAATTAAAAAGGTGCTAATGCACAATAAATTCTGCAGCATCAACAGTAAGAGCTCAGCATTAAGCTTGGGGAAGCATTGTATAACATGCCCTAAATAACACGTCCCCATTTGAATACGCAATTCACCAATTTGAAATACAGGCTTTGCAATCACCACCAATTCGATCTCCTACTTGTGGATTTAGAACCCCATAACCTTCTAAGCATACCCATACTTCCAAATACCAGAAAATCACAACAAAAAGTAAGTAAATTCCCAGAGTTTCTCGTATCATTTTTACCTGTTACTTTGTTGTATTATAATTTACCACAAGAACAAATACTGAATTAGAAGCTACAAGCATTTGCAGAGATTCAGCTAATGAAAGCAATGCAACTAGGTAATGATCTTAGTTTCTCGTATCATGATGCGTAACCCTTTACTTCATAAATTGTGTTGACATTACTAAAACAATAACTGAACAAGAAGCAAAAGTATCTGCACAAACCTATAAAGCTTAATATCAGCAATCATAAAAACATCATATCAAAGACTGACAACAAACCTCAGCTCGCCAGTTTTCAGCCCGTCGCATCGCAGTCAACACTTGACGAATCTGTTGCATCCAAAGATTGCCAAATTATTACAAGAACATACATGAGTTGTGATTAAAAGTTTCAAACCTAATCGGAAGTTATGAGAATAGAAGCTAGACAACTATTGCGGTTATCTATATACCAGCCAACACGAAAACGTGTCACATATATCAGTTTCAAGAGAACTGGTCATCTTGCTTTTTAGACCTCTGAACAGCCTTAATGGTTTAGATTAGATTGATAATTTAAAACTCTTAAGTAATTATGAAATAGAAAGGAATACATGAGATGCGAACCTCTGATGCAATTCTCTGCCTTCCATCAGATGCAGCAGCTAGAGCTCGCCAACTGTTCGCATCATCACCAGAAACCTCCATCAGCACTGACCTAGAATATGGCTGATTAAGGTCCCCACTACTAGATCCAGATGACATCACAGCCTCCTCTGAGGAAGAAGAAGCTGAAGGGAAAAATGAAAAGTGCCCTCTCTGAACCCCAGGGTCAGGGTCCACGGATGGGAAAAGAACCCATGGAAGAAATTCTGCAATTCTCTGTTGATTTTGGCTTGCTGAGTTTTGATGAGGCATCCAGGCATTTGGGAAAGTTCGTGAACTAGAACTAGGAGTTATTCGAGAATTAGAAGAAACATTTCTTGAAGAGCCTGTACTTCCACGAGAGAAGCTGCTCCAGCCACTAGGTTCTTGTACCATATGCATAGATTCAGGAGGAGACACAAAGCCCGACTGCTCGTGATTGTTATGGGAACTTCTGAAAGTCACTTCATCCCTCAATGCAACATCTCGTTCCCCAGGAAATAAGCCAGGACCTAGTAAAGTACCACTACTCGTACTACCAGATCCATTCCTACCTAAAGGAAGCAAGCTTCTTGCAGAACCAGGAACTTGCATCATATGTGATCGACTCGGGGTATTGTTCAAATTTAATGGACGTGAATACGGTGCTCTCATTTCCGGTAAATCAGAAGTCGAAACAAGTCTTGATGGATGATGCGTTGAGTTGATATTAGGATTTCTAACATCAGGACCTGCTACTGATAAATCAAATGTTATGGGTTCACGTTGTCCACGATCGGGTCTGAAACTGAAAGTTCTTTCGGAGGCTTCCAAAACTTCATTACTACCATTAAAAGGATGAAATCCATAATTCCCACCTCTATTACCGGACCCAGTTCTTAGGTTCAGCTGTCCCTGGTGGCCAGGACCCTGTAAACTCATAGAGGGGGCAGGTATATTACCTAAGCTGCTAGAAGCATTATAACGAGAAGGTAGAGAGTGCCTTCCAACAGTTTCAACTTGTAGATCAACGCTCAGATTTCCACTAGAAGAAGGTCGTGAAGGATTCCCTTCAACAGCCTTTCGCTTACAGGACAAACCCCAGGAACTCGAAGATGAACCTGAACCATCATGATGTTGAACCATATAACCAGAATTTCCAGGAAAAGGCCCATGATTATCCGGAGTTGTACCCTGAGCTGGAAAATCATCCATCTGCGATCTGCCAGACCGGTACAAATTCGAAGATGTACCTGATCCTCTATTGAACCAACCATTATCACCATTACCTCGGTAACCCCCGTTAGAAGATGCATTAAGAGGACTGTGAGAGGAGATGGAACCCTGTATATTCAGAGGCCTTTGAGAATAGTTGCGAGTAAACCCACTAGAAATGTTTTCGTGAAGAAAATGATCAGGTCGTTCAAACGACCAGTCTGCTGGCCCTGCATCACTCATTACACAGTCATTTAGAGAAGAAGCCCAACTTGGGCCAATCTTTAAGTCATTAGCATTCAACTGACCCTGTATATTTGCACGAGAGCTCGACTCACCGGGATCCCAGCCACCAGCTGTTCGACCTATATGACTTGCATTATCCACACAATAATTATTTCCTTCACTTGAAGGTAGACCATAATTTGACAGCCGGTTTTCAACCGGATTCAGCAGATTATCCCAAGCAGCTGACCGGTCCATGGCAGCACTATGAGAGCTCGTATCTTGGTTCAGATCAATATCCTCATGAAAGGATTCCAAGATACTCCGTCCCCCTTTCATATGGACCAAAACCTCAAAACCCCAATGCCTTACAAAACAATAAGACAGCAAACTATCCCAAAAGCAGTTACGCACAGATGTCTTTCCCCACCTAGTAAAGAGATAAACTAGTTAAAGAATAATCTTGTGGCACAAAATCAGAAAAGCATAGCATGATTCAGAAGAGATAGAAAAGAAGACTTAGCAAAACTGCCAAATATCTAACGGGAAATTCAGGCTTGAGCATAGTATAAACTTAGCACCAAGTACGAGTATCATTTAGGACGCCAAAGAAAAATTAGAAACATATGATCAAGCCAAGTTTCAGGATTTCATTTAAAGTCTACTCAATATAACTAAATGTCCAGTAGGCAGTGCAACTGATTCGCTGCCGGATTAACAAACAATAAGTTATTTGAAGGGGATAAAGTTCCACTCAAATGTCTGGAACACAAAAGTGGTATATAAATAAATTCTTAATGTGGACGGGTCTCAAAACCAAACGTAGTACATGGATGCAAAAGATGAGCCCAACTCCCCATTTCTGCCTTGTTTTGTCAGCCTTGCTCTCACTTGCTCGGAAGCGAGTCTTCATTGTTTTAATTAACCTCAATCAGAGCAGCAAAATAGTTGCCGAAAACGTTTAAATCAGCATTTACATTCATCAATTGATCACACACAGCAAACCGACTATAACAGGCACTAGTTACACCACTAAATAATTGAAGAAGTAAATAGAATCCAGTTCAGACAAAATCAAGCTAACACGCACCACAAACATAATCTTCGCTATTATCACCTAAAGCAAGCTCCTTTGACCACTGGAATTTCAGAAGCTAGCCAAGGGAAAGTCAATCGTCCAATACAACACAGATACACAAAAATTCACACAGATGAATTAAGCAAGCAAACAAGAAATAAATAAATAAACAAAAACAAAAAACAAGCAAAAGCCAATATAAACTACATCAAAAATCCAAAATTTGGCCACCTAAATTCAAACGATTCCCGAATTGGCAATTCAAAATCACCGTAAGCTTACAATAGAAACACCTAAAAAACCATCCAAACAAAACTCATTCCAATCACAATAAAACCAAAAAATCAAAAAATCAAAAAATCAAAAAAAAAAACCCACAAAAAAAAACACGAAAACAGGATCTGGAAAGAAAACGAGAAATAAATTAGAAAGAAAAAAAGAAAAAGAAAAAGCGGTGGACGAACCTATGAGAAGCTGATCGGTGAAGCTACCGTCGATCTTTGCCGCAAGTAAAATAGAAAGACTACTGAAGAAGAAAAGCGTTATTCAGTAACCACCGAACAAAAAACATTTTGTGAGAATCCTCAATTTTGGTTTTTATTTTTTCAAAAAAAATAAATAATTTATCTGTTCTGAGTTTGGTGTGAGTGTATGTATAAAGACGACGGTTTCGTATACGGTATAATAGGCGTAGACTGATGGTGGTGGCGTGGTGGTGGCCTGGTGGAGACGGAAAATGGGTTGAGAAGCCCAAAACTAAAAAAGCAGGGAGAAATTAATGGAGCTTTTTTAGTTTGGGGCGGAAAAAAGCCCAATTCAGGGGGAAGAAGAAAGTGTCGGACCCGCGGAGCTGCGTGGGCGATTACGTAATTAGCGGTGCTGCTCGGCTCACTCCGTAAGGACGTGTTTGGCTTTGCTGGTCTCCACTTGGGGAATGTTTATCGTTGTTCACTTGGTTTGAATTTTTCCATCAATTATTATAAGAAAATTTACAATAAAATTACTCGGTTGTATACCCAATAGGCCAATACCCATTTATTTTGTTAATTAATTTATTTTTATTTATTATTCAAAAGGAAATCTCCCATTTAATTGGGTTGGTATAGTGAGAATCGAATACTGTACCTTTAATAATAGTTTTAATAGTTTTAATAACTAAAGACTCCAAACCTAAATTGGTTCTAAATTGGTTATGTCCATATGTATGTTATGGAAAGCGTGTAATGTGTAAAATTGTATTTTTATCTCGTGTGATATTCTTAAATATACTCTTTAGGTACTAAAAAAATAGTTTATTTTATTATACGTGATTAATTGAGTTTAACAAAATTAAGCCACTATTCTTGTTCTTCTGCTACTTTCGGTTTATGTTTTGTCATTTAACTCTAATGATGATGAGGGTGATTAAGTAATAATATTTACAATGCTTTAAGAAAAATCTTAATAGGGAAAAAAAACTATACAAGAAAAGTAAATAGATGTTTCGTATGAATTACAGTCATTTTTTATATGTTATTATCAAAACATGCCTTTCAGTTGGGAGTTGGGAGTTGAGAGTTGAGAGTTGAGACCAATGTTTTCAAAATCGGGATTTTACACAGGATCATTTTGGCGTCTCAGGGTCGGATCGGAGTTTGGATCGGTGGGATCGAATTTGTGGGATCGTAGCCATTTAAAATATTATAATAATTATGAAATTACGAGTTTCAATTTGTTAGTTCAATTCTTGTTTGATTTTATGGAAGAGAAGTAGACTAGTGCCCACATACGTATCATTAACTCAAAATTTTAACTTTTATATCTTTTCTAATCATTTCTCCCCTTTTTTTTTAATACAAAATCAACAACTTGTACAAGTATCGACAAAATCAATGGGATCGTTGGATCGTAGAATCCTACGATCCGGTTGGGATTTTGAAGGATTCCATAAGATCCCACTACGAAGAAAGATTTCATAAAATTCAGGATCGATTTTCTAATTCCGAATCACAGTAAATATGGTCACTCTTTAATCATCAATGCTCTAAACTAAAAAAAAATTAAAAAAACTAATTACACTTTTCAAATATTATCATTTCTGTCTTAATTTTAAGACGAGAAGAGTAATATGAACAATTACTACTAAACTTGGCATTTGTGGGATGTCATATTTATTGAAAAAATTTATTAACATATAATTACTTCAGAATGTGACAATGTTTAAAAAAAGAGTGTTGCCACATTGCCAGCGTGACATTATTGTTTAAGCAGCTGAGCCCAAGTATCACTTTAGTTCTCAATGTGATGAACTTTGTTTCTCATTAATTCAATGGAAAATTTTATAGGAGTTCTTAATAATCCATAACAAAAAAAAAAAAATTGTTTGTTGCGTCAGCATGACTGAAACCTGAAGGAAAAAAAATAAAATAATGGAAAGATGAAGAGATAAATCCAGATTGTGAGAAATTGGGAATAGAAGATTTATAAAATCCAGTCTGTGTAAGAAGAAAGAAGATCAACACAATCTAATGGATCTGTCAATCGGTGGCTTTTCTGCAGGAATACGGACGTCGCAATTTCACATTTCACGTCATTATTACATGACTAGTATTTTTTTTATTTTTTTTTCTCATTTTTACAACACACGGTAATCGAGAAGCAGATAAAGGTTACGCTGACATCCATTTCCTGATGAGTTAGCCTTCCTTTCAGTTGAATAAACTTGAAAAGATACTACCTCTGCTTAACAAAAAAAAGAAATAAATAAATAAATAATCTCACATTAAATTTTGAGATTTGTATTATTTTTAATATAAATTTGATAACACAGTTCATCTATTTTTCAGAACGGAATAAAATTATTTCCTTTATCCTAAAATGATTGTCTACTTTGAATTTTCGCTTTTAATTCAATATGAACCAAAAAACGAAAATTCAAACTAGACAATAATTTCAAGACGAAAAAAATAATATTTTTCATTCGAAACTATTCTTAATCCTTATAAGGAATGTGGTTCATAAATATTTATTTGTTTATTTTCCACAAGAATCGCGAGGCGAACTAGCATTGCTAAGACATCAATATTTGTATGTTTAACATATATTTTACATTTTAGATAGAAAATTATATAATCAAGATATGTTAAATAGTAGTATTATGTAACCAGGTCGATCCAATAAAGGCAAGTCAATATTTCAAAAAGTACAATAAATTTTAACGTGGATGGAAATTCCGATCCAATATTTCAGATGATTTACTTAACCATTGATTAGGCATAATATTTTCTTAATGGTGTATCACTCTCCAAATAGTCACATTTTGTGAGTGCTTTCAAGGTTGGAACATGCCCTTCCAAATTCATCTACCAATCTCATAACTAAACCAAACCGTGTGAAATGCGACTCTCCCCAACACAAAAACTTACACAAACCCAATCACATTTGAAATGAAAATTAACAAGGCCAACACTGCTTTTTTTGGGCTGAGTTTAATCTTAAGCCCGATAGTTTAAAACTAGATCAAACCCAATCTTACTTTTCAATTCACTTTAAATCTGGCTTCACTCCAACAATCATCATACACTTAATTATGGTTTCGCAAGCATAATTCTGATTTTGGATCCTTTCTACGTATTCCTTCTATCCCAAAACTCTTATGCGCTTTGAAATTTCACTTTTAATACAATTTTGAAGTAAAAATGAAAATTTAAAGTGGACAATAATTTCGAGACAGAAAAAACATAAGATTTTGTGATTATATCTAAACTTAAAGTTTGACTCCAATTTGACACCAACAACGAAGTGCAGCTTAGTGAAAAGACGCTTTACCTATTGACCAATAGGTCATGGATTCGAGATTTCGAGTTATATGGGGTAAGTGAAAAACTACTATTGATCCTTTTTCTTTAAAAAAAAAATAAAAATTTATGGTCTCCCTACCCCATGCATAAACACCCTCTTCTTTTCCGCCGAATAGGGATATTTTTGCCACCTACATTTATGTATGATTGTAGTTTTTTTTAAAAAAAAAAACGATTGTCTTCTTCCATATCAAGAACAAAATCGTTAGAAATAAATTCTTTGATATGTAACTTTTCCATCGTCAATGGAGTATTAGTATCTGTCATTGCATGATATTCTCAATTTATGCTCGTATTTGATCATCCAATAATGCGTTATGTACGTTGATCAACCTCAACTACAAAAATTAACAACAACCATGTGTACTAAATCATCATATAAGTTAGTCTATCTCTCCATACGGCAACACTCGAGATATAAGGAACGAATCAAACATTTTCTCCTTTTTCCTCACATCTTTAATTTTCTGCAGAAATAATGTGATTTTGGTAAATCAAACTCTAAGGAACTCAATATGCAACTGTCATAAGTTTAACCTGAAATCGGACTGATATGTTCCCATTACAACATCGATATTTCTAACCATAATAAATTCAAATACAAAATCTTTCTTAAAGCTGGCAAGGAGCACTTGTCTGACATTTTGATTGGTGGAAAGTCAATTTTGGAGTCTTGATTTTAGGTTTCAAGGTTGATAGAGAATCCATAATTCACTAGTGATACTATTATAAAATCGATAGGTTCTATCTATAACATCTTGTTAAACACTCAAAGAAGACCAATAAGAAATAGGAGTAATATCAAATTTGATTATGGTAGCTTAACGTCATTTATTACCATCATTACTATTTATTTTCTATCACTTACAAGATCAATGTTATAGATGGAGTCTATCATGGACGAGGATCATAACGCATGAATCGAATCCTCCTAGTTTGTACACAAACTATACCATATTATAGTATATTTTTCAGGTTTTTTGCACTCACGTGTCCAAATAGGGGAAAAAAAAGTGTACCAAAAATGGAAAAGAAAGAAAAAGAATTGAGGCCTGACTGAGAGCAGCCCAGAGCAGAAGTCGCACACATAAATACTAATGATTCGATTCCGAATGATTGCACAGATCCCAAGAAAAACCCCATCTCCCGACAAAAAAAAAAATAACCCACCCGCCAAAAAAAAAAAAAAAAAACAAAACTGGGTAGAAAAGGAAAAAACCCATACACGAGAGAGAGAGAGGAAATGAGGGAGAAGAAGAAACCCAATTCAAAGGCTTTGGCTGCTGTTCTGTCTTCTCTGATTTCCCAACTCCTCCTCCTCGTTTCCCTCCTTTCTCCTTCATCAAATCCCAACCCGATTTCCCTCCTCGGCCCTTTTCCCCTCGATTCCCATCACTTCAGCCTTCCGATTCTCCTGACCCACTTCATCTCCGTCTCTGAAATTTCAACCACTTTAGCCCGGCTGTCCTTTTCCAAAAAAAGGAAGCGGGCCCATCACGATTCCGATGATGAGGACGACCCGGTACAAGAGGAGGGTTACGCGGCCCAATCGCGACGGGCACGACCCGGGTTTTTCGTCCCCCACAATCTGGATTCGTTTAAGATGATGTTTAGGATGAATTCTTCAACTTTCGAGTGGCTCTGTGGATTGCTGGAGCCCCTGCTGGAGTGTCGTGACCCGGTTCAGTCACCCTTGAACCTACCCGTTGAGGCCCGGTTAGGGATCGGGCTTTTCCGCCTCGCCACGGGTTCCGATTACCGGCAAATAGCCGGACGATTTGGTGTCACGGAGTCAATTTCGAGATTCTGTGTCAAACAGTTGTGCCGAGTTCTCTGCACCAATTACCGGTTCTGGGTCGGGTTCCCTAATGCTAACGAGCTCGGCTCCGGTTCAGTTCAGTTTCAATCGCTCTCTGGACTGCCGAATTGTTGCGGAATTATTGATTGTGCGAGGTTTAAGATCGTCGGTACTGGAAATTCTCATCCAGGAGAGGAAGATACGATTGCAACCCAGATAGTGGTTGATGCGTCATCAAGAATTCTGAGCATCGCTGCCGGTTTTCGTGGGAATAAGAATAAATTTATGGTCCTAAAGTCGTCATCTTTGTACAAAGACGTCGAAAATGGGTTGTTAATGAACTCAGAAAATGTGTCCCTAGACAACGTTGATGTGCCTCAGTACTTTGTTGGGGATGCAGGGTATCCCTTGCTTCCTTGGTTAATTATCCCTTTTGTTGACCCGGTTGAAGGGTCAAGCGAAGAGAGTTTCAACAATGTGCTAAGAATCATGCGCGTTTCGATGTTGAAAACCACTGCAAGTTTGAGGGGATGGGGTGTTTTGAGTAGGCCAATTGATGCAGAGTTTAAGGCTGCGGTAGCTAACCTAGGCGCTTGTTCTATACTTCATAATATGTTGCTGACGAGGGAGGATTTTTCTGCTTTCTGTGATGAAGTTAGTGATGATTCTTTGGTGGGTGATCAGGGGTTTGATTACTTCTTGGAGGATGATATGAATGAGAAGGGGGTTGCTGTAAGAAATGCATTGCTCAAAACTGTAAAGAGAGCTTAATTTTATTGGATGATTGATCATTTGATTGAAGTGGATTTAATTTATAGTATTCAGTAGCTGGTTGAAAACATTTGTCGCAAACGGACTTTCTTCTACTGTATAGTTTGGAGAGAAGGTCAGTTGTTCAATTACAGTCAACAATTTTGTAGGACGGTACACAAGCAATGGAAGAAACAGCCAAGAGAAAATGTCTCTTTTTTTTGGCCTGGTTTTCTGTCTCTTTTTTAGGCCTCATTATTTGGTTTGTTCTTCCATTTCTGGGTTTGAAGTAGATAGTTTCTTGGCTTTCTTTTGAGTATGCAGATGATTAAGTTACGTTTCATGATACCCATAGTGTAAATAGTTAGAGTTATTGATCTTGAACTTTTATTATTTTAGTTTTGCAATCAGATATCTTACTTTTCTCAGGGTGCATAGTACATACCTAGCTGAGCTTTATGATGATGAAAGGAGTTAGGTTTTGTTTTGGTTGTTGCTTCTGGTTAATCTAGTTCAGCAGTATTAAGTTGTGCAACCTGATACCTTCTTGAGGATAGTGTCTGGAAGGGAGACAATTTACTTTCTTGTTAATTCAAGGCGGTGGGTATCACCTCTTGTTGATTTGATATGGCAAGTATGATATTCTCTTCCTGCTGAACGCAGGCATAATCGATGGAAACAAGATAAATATGAGCAGCAAGTCAAGCTGCAAATCAGGATTTTATCTGTTGATGCTCAAAGCTTGTTTTTTTGAGTCTTTGTCTTTCTATGATTTTCAATTTGTGACTGGTAACCTGATTAGAGTCTCGCCTATGGTTGAATGACTTGAGTAATCGATCCTTAGTGAAGCTTGCCAAACTTATGGGAACTGTTAGAGAGTATCAGAGATTTTTGTGACTGCATGACTATGTACACCTCAAATGCTTCTGAAATGAGCCGTTGGTTATGGGAGCTTCACTTGAACAAGGAGCATTCCATAACTGGTTTAAGATCACGCATGTTTAGAAATCTCCTGTGTGTCTACCTCTTCTTTCAATCTTCTTTAAACTTCCATACTGCTTCGTATGAGTTGCATTCCAGTGGATGCAACTCAATGGCACATTCAAAGGATATACCAACTGGAACAAGAAAAAAGCAGGACAAAACAAATGAGCAACAAAAGAACTCCTTGAGCATTTTGTGTAGCTTCTGTAGGTATGATTTCTGAACTCTCGTCTATCTGAAACTGTCATTATGATAAGCAATAGGGATTTTATATTTAGTTTATTTGAAACCTGCCAGCCCCAGCCAACGGACGGCGATCTGTCTTCTACTGGAGTTAATGCTAGAAGCCGGATTCCCATGCATATAGAAAGAAAGGAGAAAGAATATGCTTTACGCCGCGGTGTGTGTTTAGAGAAACATGATCTCTGAGGGGGCATCATTTGCAGTGATTTCTGCTGTAATTATAGTAGTGAAAGTAAAAACACTTAACACTTAAGCGGTCTAATTGCAGAATCAGTTGCTTCAGAAAGCGGATAATTGTCAGGAAGGACGAGGATTTGAAGAAATTATAGTTGGTCCTCTAAGAATGTAGTGCTTGTTTTCAGATTAAGAAAACGGGTTCTTGTAGCTTTCGATTGCTAAGGGAGCTTTATTGGCTGTTGGCATGGTTATATGCAGGTGGTAGCAGAGTTAGAAAAGCTCAACTGCGCTCTATTTTAACTTCATGTCATATTGGCACTGGAATCGAATGATGTTGACTTGTTTCTAATCTTGAAAATGTTTTGATGAGGAGGGAAACAACAGTGTCCTCCTTCAGAAAGAATCATATTTGTTAAGATAAAACAACATAACAAACAAGACTATTTTCTAGGGACGGAGTAATAGCTTTGGAATTGCAAATCCTCAATGGCGATGCTTCCTAAAACCTAATAGTCCTAACCACTTAATTAAATTTCAGACAAATGAACGAAAGTAGGTACACGGAAAGAAAGCACGTATGTTTGGTTGGTTTTTTGGTTAGTTTTTTCAGAATTTTTAATTAATATCTGTCCCATCCCAACATACTTTTTGACATTGTTAATGCACCTTTTTATATTTCGAATATACTTTTTTACATTGTTAATAAAAAAATACACGCTAAAAAAAGATCCAAAACAGATTAAATAATGTTTTGGATGGTTGCTTTCTTTCTTAGAAATTTATCTTCCACAGTGTTTTTTATAACTCTTGTTATCCCGAAATAATAATTTAAATTTTTATTTTTAGTTTAAATTGTATTGAAACTAAAAATTCAAATCACACCAAGATTTTAGACCGAAGATTTAAATATTTAACCTTAGACTCGTTGGATCAAAGTCAAATCCAAACTACTTATATTGTATTTTATAAATTGTTTTAGGTAAGCAGCCATTAGTCATCGAACGCGTTTATTGCATGGTGAAATTTATTTCGAAAAAGGGAGACTTTCGGCGAGGACAAAGTAAGCCACTCATGACCATCAAGCTTAACAAGCTCACTGACAATTTGAAACGTATTTATAACAACACAATGTACATGTTACATGATTCAATCTGTTCAGTTCATCTTTCATGTTTTAATTACTCATAAAGAAATGTTTCATAAGATAGGTGAACATCCAAAACGTCCAAAATCGATATCACTTTCAAATTAAACCAAAATACCGTACTCATCAGTTGCCGCACTGAGAATCACTCAAGTCCGGCCGATGGTTGATGAAATGAACTCAGAAACAGAGCCATGTGCTCAAATGTTAAATACTCCGACAAATTTTTTATTTTTTTTTCCCAAAAAAAAAATATTGTTTGGACAAAAAAAATCTCACATAATTCGTGTAAAGGATCATAAACTCCTTGTATTACTTTATTCGGTATTAATTGATTTTGAGATGATAACACAAGTTATTTTGATAAATATATCGATTTTTCAGTATCAATGTATGAGCATATAATAATCTATATATGCCTTTCTCCAAAAAAATAAAAATAAATAAAAATAACTATTTGTATATGCTTTTTCAAAAAAGAAAAACTAATCTATATATGCTACATTGCTACTACGCGATTATTACTCAAATATATGACTATTCACAATTTAGTAAAAGGATATAAATGAAGTGGATTTAGTCCGCCAATAAAAGCAGGTGTGACAACGACGCTTGTTGTCCATTCTTCTACTCATTAATCATCATTCACCAACCTCTCAGCTCCTTTTTTTTTTCTTTGAAATAAATTAAATTAAATATTTCGAGATGTGGGAGTTTAGGACTTTTCTTCCTCTTCTTCTTTTTTTTTTTTTTTTTTCTGTTACAAAGTTTAGGACTTTTTCTTTGACCGAAAGGGAGAGCAAGGCAACTGACCATTGACCAATTGCTTTCAATCTCACTACCAAACTCTTTCTTCTTTCTTTTTTTGGTTAAAGAAATAAATTTAAATTCAAATGATTATTACATTACGAGAATATTTTATTTTTTTACGAAATTATGGCAAGTCATAAGCTTACTACACAAGTAGGTCGAAGATGTAATTACCAAAGTAGCTTGGACTAATTTGTGGAAAATTTACAAGACTTGGGACTTCATCATCAATTGGCCAAATAACACATGTTTTTTTGTTATTTTTTTTTTTGGGGGTACCAAAGAGAAGACCGAGCCTAATTATAGGGTTACATTACTTGGTACAAAACCCCAATTTGATCATGGCGCAATCACTAAATGACTAACACGGAGGGACTCACTAACTGCCTAACTCCCCAATCGACTTGCTCCTTCATTCCTGCTAGGCAGTCGGTCGCAAAATTGGCCTCACGAGAACGTGATTCAGCTGCACAGTCCAGTCCCTTGCAAAATTGGCCAAATAACACATGTTCGTTGGGAAATACTACATCCATTTCGGCTTTCGCATGATAAAATAGGCTTAGTTTGCTTCACTTTTGTAATTTCTATCGTCATGCTTCAAATAGGTATATGATAACGGAGCAATCAATTACTATCAATTTTGTTGAACAGTATAATTATAATTAAATGTATACTTTTGAACGGCGAAGTTGCTGAACCGTTTCTTCGCAGTTTAGAAGAGTCAAATATTGCAGCCCCCCCTTCCCAAAAAACGCAAAAGGAGAAGAAGGTTTTATTTTGAAGTTGGTTTTAGATTTCTATTTTTATTTTATTTTATTTTTCCGTTTCTTTATTTAAGGAAGTTATTTTTATAAATATTTTGTTTAAATCAACAAATATTTCTGGCCCAAAAAAAAAAAAAACAAAAAGCAACCTGATTTGTTTTTTTTTTTTTTTTTTGGGTGGGGGTCAGTGGTCACCACCAACTACAACTCCGAGCAGGCTTTTTTTTTTTTTCTTTGTTTCTGTGTTTGTGTGGAAGCTGATAAGTTTCACCAACCCTTCACCAACCATTCTTGCAGAGCTTTTTCCCCCAAAAAATTTCCCACTTTCTGGTATTATATATCGCAATTGTTTTCATCGCCCTCCAATCACAAACTAACACATCACGCAAACTTGATAACTTGATGATTGAGTACATGTATGGATTTTATTCATGAGAATTTTTTTCGTTCATGTATTCTTATCCTTAACCATTCGAGCGACACTTTCCTTTTTAACGTTCAACGGTTCAACCAAATGATTCCAGTGATGCAACATGCAAAAAATGTTCGGAGAATGGATGTTGCTAAGTGCAGGCCAAATAAGTCAACCAAATCAAATGTTTGTTGACTTATTTAGAACATCTATGTAAATGAATGTGATAGATGTACAGTTTCTCTCTTATGTTTTTAAAATATATGATTCCTTAAAATGTTTCTCTAACGTTGATTGTATACATCTTCCAAAAAAAAAAAAAAAAATTAGAAATCCAAATGTGGCATTGAAAACAACTATTGAATTTGATTGGGGTGCTAGAGTGGTCGATGACGATTGTGAGTTACTTAAATCGATTCCCTTGTTTTGTTTCCAATGAGGCAATGACAATATCAAACAATACCAATCACTATTACTTTCAATCAAAATATCCCTAAATTAATCAGAGCGAAAGTTGGTTAGGGTGCGGAATCTGTATCACATTAGTCTTTATTTTTATATTGATTATGGGTTTGGTATCCATCTATTTATAACATGAATACTCATAAAAAAAAGGTTCAAAAAATCATTTGCATGTATTTGTATGAAAAAAAGAGTTTGGCAAAAGAAAATCCACTCTAAAGCAAAAGCTAGTACTACCCGTCCCGTTTACTATCCAATTTGTATTTTTATTTTTAGTTTAAATTATATTACTGACTCCGTTCTAAAAAAATAGTTCACATTGAGTTTTTAAATTTGTACTAAAATTAGTACAAATCTCAAAACTCTGTGTGCTTATTTTTCTAGGACGGAAGGAACACTAAAACTAAAATCTCAAACTGGACAATAATTTTAGAACAAAAGGAATACAAAAAATTGAAATTGGTTGGATTCCATGTATACATTGTTTTGGCCTATGTTTTCAAAACCGGACCAAACCGTGATCGAACCGGTTAGATCGGGAACCGAAAGCTTCACCGGTCCGGTTTTTATAAACAATCGAATTTTTATAATCCGGTCAAACTCGATCAAATTCGTGTAAAATCGCGGTTTGATCGGAAATCGATACCGGTTAAATCGGTTTTTACATATATTTTTTAAAAAATTAATTTTAAAATATTTTTTTAATATTATTTTAACTGATTTTAACCGGTTTCGAAGAATGAATTAACCGGTTAACTCGGTAAACCCACCAACTCAGTCACGCTAATGGTTTACCTTCCGGTCCGGTTTTGAAAACATAGATTTTGGCATATACTAACACTTCACACCTTCGCTTCCATGGGGCATAGGCTTGAAGCCAAATACTGCAGGATGATGAGATGACGCAATACTATAAGTTGATGATTTCACAAATTGGTAGACTCCACCTAACTACTTTTTGATAATTAAAATATATTTTCCATTTTCCACTAATAAAAAGTAAAAAGTCTTACAGAAAAGAAAAAAAAAACAACATCCACAAAAAAGAAAATGTGACTTTGGGTGAAAAGAAAAAAGAAGAAACGTAATAAAAAAGAAAAATAATAGTAGTAATAAACAAAATTTTATAGCTGCCAATTTGGGTTGCCAATATTGGATGTCCTCATTTCACCAACCCTCAAACAGTGGTCACCTACTCCCCTACCAATCTTATACAAAACCCAAAATATATTTTTTAAAAAATATCACCACTTTGAAGTTTGAACCCATCTGAGTTCCTATAAAAATCAAACGTTATTTCCCCATTTCCAATCCCAGGATTCATCGGATAACTCGAGACAATCCAAAGGAAAGAAAAAAACAAACCTCGGGAACATATTCTCCTTTTGAATCCCAGAAAATTATTTACAAACAAAGATGGCTCAGAATGGAGAAGGAAAGGACCTCAAGCATGCCGAAGTTGGGCATAAGAGCCTTTTGCAGAGTGATGCACTCTTCCAGGTAAGAGCCCCTTTTGATTCTTGATTACAACTTAGAACACAAATCTTTATTTTGAAGCAGCAGAAGAAAATGAACAATTTTTTGTTGCTCTGTTTTTTTCTTTTGCAGTACATCTTGGAAACCAGTGTGTATCCAAGAGAGCCAGAGCCCATGAAAGAGCTTAGGGAATTGACTGCTAAGCATCCATGGTGAATGAATTTCTAGATTTTTATCAATGTTTTTAAATCCTTTCATGATGTAAAATGGCAAAGACATCTAAATTGGGTTGGTTTTATTGACAGGAATCTTATGACAACCTCTGCTGATGAAGGCCAGTTCTTGAGCATGATTCTCAAGTTAATCAACGCCAAGAAAACCATGGAAATTGGTGTTTACACCGGATATTCTCTCCTGGCCACCGCTCTAGCTCTTCCAGAAGATGGAAAGGTATTACTTAGTTCAAATCATCTGAATTCCTCTTTCACAATAAGTCCACAAAAAATGAGGACAGGTCCTCTGTTTTGTCTTCTGTTCTAAGGAAAAAATTCCTTCTTTTGTCCAAAAGTGCGAATTCTTTCCCATTTCTGGCTAATTATTACAATCAGCACTCACATAGATTCGTACTCTTTTCCCCCTATTTTGGGCAACCCTTTTGTTTTATGCTTTGGATGAAATAATTGTGATAATCAAAGTCCGTGTTTATGTTATAAGTTTTTTTCTAACTAGTGGTTGGGGTGCAGATTTTGGCAATGGACATCAACAGAGAAAACTACGAATTGGGTCTCCCAATAATTGAGAAGGCAGGCGTTGCCCATAAAATTGATTTCAGAGAAGGCCCTGCTTTGCCTGTTCTTGATCAGCTCATCGAGGAGGTAATAAATGTCCCTTTACCCCACCCAATTACAATAATTTCATCCCCTGTTTTCGGTTATGTGTATTTCATTTTTTTTTCTACATTTGTTTTATTAATAATAACAATAACACGATGATGATTCATCAGGGCACGAATCAGGGGACATTTGATTTCATATTCGTGGATGCTGACAAGGACAATTACATTAACTACCACAAGAGGATCATCGAGTTGGTCAAGGTTGGTGGTCTGATCGGTTACGACAACACCTTGTGGGGTGGCTCAGTGGTGGCGCCGCCTGATGCTCCCATGAGGAAATACGTCAGGTACTACCGGGACTTCGTGTTGGAGCTTAACAAAGCCCTCGCCGCCGATCCCAGGATTGAGATCTGTATGCTTCCGGTGGGTGACGGAATCACCCTGTGCCGCCGCATCAGCTAAAAATTTCATCCACCATTTTGGATTTTGGCCAAATCTATATTTTATTATGTGCAAATTTAAGTAAAATGGATGTCCTAAAATTCCCAACTTTTTATTTTTCGCCTTGTATTCTTTTTTCTTTTTTCTTTGAAAGTAGCAGCTGTGTTTGTGTTTACTTTCAAATATCTATCAAATCAATATGACTTTTTAATGCTCATAAATAATGAAACTTGTAATTTCTACTCCAAACTAGTAGTCCCATCCGTCGTTTCCTTTATTTGGTTTGGAAGTTATATATGTACTAACTTGCATTCTACTTCTTTCTCCTACCTAAAAAGGGCAATCACTCAGTGATAATAACAGCTGGTATTTTATTAAACTAAAATCGAAACAAAACAGGGGGTCGTAAGTTTGATCTGTGTCCTGATTCCTGAAACATTGCACTCAAAAAATATGATTACAGATCTATTTAACATACATACACAACCAACGAACTAGATATGGACACCTAAAGAAAACTGCGCATAATCTCATATTCCCCAGCTACAACCTTCTTCTTTTATGACATATGTTGCAGAACCAGAACCTCTGCCTTAGTAGGCATATACCTTCCAAATGATATCCACAACAATCACAGTAATTGCACAGCCTGCGATGAGAAATATTACAATTTGTCAGAATCAACTGTATTCTCTATTTCTCTATGCTCTCCCTAGCTAATAACCTAATATTGCAAAGCTAAGGGTAACAAAACTCCTAGTACTAAGAAATCAATCATCAAGAGAGCACAAATGAGAAAAACGATCAACAAGGAGATGCTGCATTGGAAAGCTCAAATTGAACCAGCTGAGTGTCCAACATTGTCAACAACAGCAACTAAACACTGTTCAACTCACCCATTACTGAAAGAATTTATTGACATGAACTAAAGGAAAAGTTAATGCGAAGAATTGTTGCAGCAAAAATAAGAGTCCGCAAGCACTAAAAAACAGCCAATATGCGAAAAAAGCAGCTACAGTCAAGTGGAATGGACCAATTGACTTACAGTTGAGCACAAGCTTCTACTGTCCATTTGCCATGTATAAATTTGCTAATTCCACCCCGCCATTGTCATCATCATCTCTGCTGAGCTGATGAGTGATTTCAACATATTTACCAAATAAATATTGATGCAACGTATGACAAGGCCAGGGAATGGAAAGCGAAGGAGTATAAAATTGGTAATTATTCTCTAACCTTAAACAAAAATAACATCAGGAATATGTGATATCTTCATCCAATCTTTCCCACTGTACTTCGAGTATTGCTTCTGCAGTATCTCACTCCTGTGGATTTTTAATATTTTGAGTGATGGGGCCCTTCTAAGGATTCGATGCGGCAGTGCTTTCAGCTTGTCACAACCATAAATTTGTAGACTTTGGAGCCTTGGCAAGACAGAGATACAATCATTCTCCACATTCTCATCATCTTCTTCACTCATGTCTTCCCATTTTTCCCAATTCGACAAGTAACGAAGAATCAATGTTTTCAAACTGGGAAATGCTACAAATCCTGCAGTACCTTCATCAACTAGTCCAAAGAATGCACGACCTATATGTTTTATGCTTGAAAGATTCACAAGAACGAGGGATTCAAGGGATGAAAACATCCATAAAGAAGGCAATGATGAAACCAGATCAGCATTAACCAAAACCAAATTTCTCAAATTATTAACTAGAGATTTGGCTTCAATCCAGTCGGGCAGCTGGGCTGTTGGGTATCCATACAACTGAAGCACTCGTAGATTAGGAGGGGGTTTTACCTTTATCATCTCTACCAAACTTCTTTTGCTCTTTGAATCATCACTACCAATCCTTTCAAATGTTAATGTCAACTTATGCAAAAAGACTTTGTCTCCCAATTGAGCTTGCTCAAAATTTACAGCAGAGCAATGAACGTAAATTTGCAATTCTTCAAGTTGGTTCAACTGCCTCAACTTCCCGACAGTATTGGATGATCCACCATCAACAATGAATCGTGACAAACTACGAAGTGAAGCTAACTTCTCTATGCCTGGGGGCATTTGTTGCAGCGCAAATGTCCCGTCATTGTCAAGGTGTCTCAAATGTGTAAGGTCTCCAATCCTTTCAGGAAGATGCTCAAGTTTCTGGCACCAACCAATGTCCAATGTTTCCAGATAATATAAATCACATACTGTTTCTGGAAGTATTCGAAACCAGTTAGAACTCACATTCAAGAACCGCAGATGAATTAGATTTCCTATCTCTTGTGGCAGTTCTTGTAATCCACACTCAGACAATGTTAAAGACCTCACAGATTTCAAACTTGTACACAAATCTTGGGGAACATTACTATTTGGAGGGAGAAAAAGACTTCGCACCTTCCCAAAGTCAAGGACCATAGACGAAATGGTTGGTTTTTCCATTCCAAGCAATGTAACATGGCGAAATCTTTCTTTGGTAAATCCTACCTTGTTCTCGACCTTTTGGCAATCAGCAATGTCTAATACACGACATTCATTTTTTGCAATGAATTGTGCAAAATCATGAATTATGTCATGCATCTTGATCGAGAATACGCCATCCTTGTGCCAATCCCGTTTTGCCTCTTGGAAAAACGAACGCATTGCCAAAGTCTTAAAATGGTCACGACCCTTCTTTTCCATACTGTCATCACCTTTTTGACTCGCATTGCCGAGATAACCTTGTGACATCCACAGTTTTATTATACTATCCACCTTCATGTGGCTATCTTTAGGAAAGACTGCACAGTACGAGAAGCATCGTTTCAATTGAGGGGATAGCTCCTTGTAACTCAAATAGAAATGGGGGAAAAGCTCCAAAGATGCTTCCTTCATTTGCCATATCTCACTATCCAAAACATCTTGCCACTCTTGTAAAGTGTCTTTAAACTGCAATAGACTTCCCATTGTCCTTGCAGCGAGTGGCAATCCCTTGCATTTCTCCGCAATTTTAAGACCAATCTTCTCTACTTTCCAACATAATTCTGATCTTTTGGACAATGCTATCTGCTTAATGATGAACCAGCAATGTGTATCTGATAGAAGATCTAAAGCGTGCCGGTAATCAGTGCCAACTACTCTCGCAACACTTTCCTTTCTCGTTGTCACCAGGATTACGCTTCCAGGAGCACCATCCTTGAGTGAATCTCTAAACGGCTTCCACTTTGAGTAATCCTCAGTCCAAAGATCATCGAGGACAAGTAGGAATCTCTTTCCAGAAAAGAAACTTTTTATCAGTTGCAACAGCGACTCCAACTCTGACAGGTTACTACCGCTCATCCCTGTGCCCTCAAGAAGAGCATTAGCGATCCTTTTCTCATCAAAAGGATCTGACACACATACCCAATTGGCAACTTCAAAATATTTGTTCACTCTGTCATCATTGTAAAGAATTTGGGCTAGTGTGGTCTTTCCACTCCCCCCACACCCTACAATCGAGATAACCTTAACTCGATTCTCCTTAACTTCAGGCAACATTTGCATAATCAGAAAATGCCTATCAGAATCTCGACCATACACCTCTGATTCATCGAAGATAGAGGTTGTAATGGGTCGCTTAAAGTCAGGAGGGAGAATTTGGCTATTACTCAGGGTACTAAGAAAGTTAAATTCATTTGCCTCCCTTAGTATTGATTCTAGTTTACCATTAATCTCCTTAACTTTTATGGCTATTTCGTTAAGGATTGGAACTTGTTTCAGACAAGAACAAAGAGACAGGATAAAAGAATGGACCTTTTCCAAGAATGTTGGAGACTGTACTTGAGCTCCCTGCTGATCAAGCTCCTTGGGATGCAAAATCTTGATGTTCCATTCATCCAGTACATCTTCCATCTCATGAGTGATGTCTTCAAGCTCTTCCAGCCATATGGAAACGTTCTTCTCCTGCAGTCTTCTCCTCTCAGCATCACCTAGTAAGTTTTCAATTTTTGTTAGTTTGGAAGAGAGATTTTGCACCTCTTCTTCAACCCCTGCCACCAAATTAACTCTCTCCTCAACTTGCTTCGACAAAACATCAGTGAGCCGATCTATTATTTTCGAAATTAAAAGTTCAGCCATCCTTGAATATGTGAGCTCTATGAGTTGTCTGTAAGATATTTTGGTTCGTCTTTGTTTTTGTGGGGATTAATGCAAACCAAACAAGCTCTAGTTTAACCCAATCATTTTATAACTGCAGTATTTCATCTTTTCCCTGAATATCTTTTGCATATAAAACAGCTAAAACAATGTTTTAATGGTGCTTAGAGTTAATTTAGGGCAAAGCCATTCTTAGGAAAGCAAACACACAATACCTTACTTCCTTAATCATGTTTAAGAAACACAAAATACCCTTAATCGATATATAATCGAATTGTCAAGCACAATTAATAGCTAATACCAAGAGTACATGTATATTCCAAGTCTGGTAATGAAGCAAATGTCAAATTCTCTGCGAAAAGAAAGATTCAAAACCTCCGTCACTAGTCTACTCGCAGCATTGATTGACAGAGTTTGGCCCCCCAAAAATCGAATCTGATTCAATCGGGTCAGTGATTCGAACATCTATTGTGACATCAACCAAATTTACTCCACACTAGACAAGAAAATGCAGTGTAACATTATGAACAAGTTCACGTCACTGTGAGGAAAAGATATTGTCACTTTTGTGACCTCACAGATTCAACAATATTCCATTCACGAACAAATCAATCTAGACTAGAAAAGTAAGAGGTTAATTTCTATTATTGATTTATAACATCAATGGTTTAACTAGGTATGAAATTGAAACGTCATCACCGGAAACATACCTCTTTAGACTTAAGTTCTTTCGTTAATAATGCATGATCATCACGGCAACACTTTATGTGGTGGCTCGGTCGTAGCGCCGCCATAAGCTCCGATGAGGAATTACGTCCGGTAAGACAGATTATCAAAGCACCCATTGGCCATACCGAGGTTGAAATCTGTAAGCCTCCGGTGGGTGATGGGATACCGATGACCATTTGCCGTCGCGCCAGGTAATTAAAACCCAGTTTTGCCAATTAAAATTTTATTTTTTGAGTGATGGACGGCAAAAATATACATGCAAGGATATAAATTTGAGACTGGTCATTATGCTGAAAACTCTAATAGATGGGCAAATTATCTTCGTATGCTATTTTTGTTCGGATAAAGAGAACACTTTATTAGTTTTCGTCATGGAATGTAGTTTTGGAAGTGTTAGAAAGACTTAACGGAAAAATATTCGTTTTTCTTTTTTGGGTTTTTTTCCCTCCCCCTCAAATTAGACTAGCTAGTGCATATTAGTGTATGAAGCATTTTGGTCCATGGCAAATGAGATGACGAGGTACGACCAGTGGCGGAGCCAGAAATGTTACATAGTAAGGGCAAAATGATAAATTTTTTATAAAACAGGGCCGAAATTATGATTTTTAAAAATTTTATACTAAAAAATTAAGTCCTCCTTTAATTAAAAAATTGAGAGGGAGGGGCAACTTCCCCTACTAGTCCGTCAGTCTCCGCCACTGGCTACGAATACTAGTTGGGTCACGAAGGGAATGATAAATGTGAAGAGATTTCGTGCTTATATTGTTATTAGTTAGATGGGAAAATGAGTCTTTTCATGAGTTTTTGAGTTAAAAAATAGTTCAAAAAAAGGAGTAGAGATAAATATAGGTTGAATTTTGGAGAAAAGCAAAATACGGATATCGGATTCCTAAAATTCGATTTTCTGATGAAATCGGATTCTCAAAATCCGACCTTCCCTTAATACAAAAAATTAATAAAATTAATCAAGATTAAGAGAAGGCCGGATTTTGCCCTATCATGTTAAAATATAATATTTTCAACAAAAACACTTAGTTTTTTTTTGAAATAAAATTTTGACCAACGTCGGATTTTAGAAATCCGATTTTAGTGTAAGGTCGGATTTCAGAAATCCGTGTAAGATTAAATCAGACTTTGAGAATCCGGGTAAGGTAAGATCGGATTCTCAAAATCCTATTTCTTAGTAAAACAAGTGGAAGGTCGGATTTCTGAAATCCGACCTTGGACAGAAACTTTAAAAAAAATAAAGGATTGGTTTCTAAACCAATCACAACAGCACTAAAACCAAATTTCACGCATAAAATTAGCTATAAACACATTCTAAACACATCGGAACAAACATTAACAAATTCAAAAGCATTCAAATCCCAAAATCATCCAAATTACAACTAATAAACATTAAAGAGTTTAAAATCAAAGAGTCCTACAATTGAATTACTTGAACGACCTTTTCTTCCTTATAGCCCCGTCGCCGGGAGTATACTTCTTGGCGGTTTACTAACCATATCACTCTTGCGAACCTCGACCGTTTTCTTTTTCTTTTGGGAAGAAACACGAGGTGGAGAGGACTCTTCTTCTTCTTCTTCTTCTTCTGCGCCCCTAATGTAGTAATCCTCATCGCTTTCATTGCCTTCATCATCTTCATCATCTTCTTGCATTGGAGTTGGATTGGGATGAACTATGATTGTTCGATCTGAAATTCCCGGTCGCTTCCTCCTTCCTCCTCCAGTAGGCTTCGATGTTGTTTTCTGCGTGAGCACCACATGTTGACTTGACTCTGGAGGTCTTTTCTGAAGAACCTGAGTATGGGGACTGAGTGCTCATATCACGTGGGTCCAAAGTCAGAGCACTGAAACTTTTGTCGAAGATTTGGAAGAGTTTATCCTCTAGACTACCACCGAGGCTTGGATTTTCCCGTAAGGCTGCATCAGCGAGATAATATATGTCGCTGAGATTTGAAGACTGCAGAAAATTGAACCATGTTAATAAAGTATAAGATATAGTAAGAATTAAAAAATAAAAAATTTTTTAAAGTAAAATATCGACATATATCTTACATAAAATCTCTCCAGAGATAAAGACGAGTGATAACCTTGTACCAGAGGGCCGTATTGAGTGAGATCAGTCATAAATCTGATAGTCTTCTTTTGAAACCACGGCATGTAGTCTGATGTGCACTGAGGACCTAGTTCCGGATCAACCAATTCATGAGGGACCACGTGCTGATCTCTCACATTCCAATGAGGTCGTACCTTGGTGTGTTTTTGCACCCAATCATCATATGTCTTTCCAGTCTCAAGGCATCCGTGGTGTATCGTATTCAAGTGATCAATATCATTGATTAACGGGTACTCTGGCACAGTTTGCTTACATTGAAATTGACGAAGGACCCGATTGGGCTCGTATGGTTCTCTGATGGCCCAACAAAAGATCCACATCCTACAGAGGTAGAAATGAACCCCCTCTTTACCGAAATCAGGGAGATCGTCGATGAAGGGAGTGCATGGAGTCCATAGAAACTGGCCAAAATTAAACAATTGGTAAAAAAAAGAGAAGAAAATAGAAAGGAATTTTATCGAGTAACTTAAATCAATACTTACATCTCCATCCCTTAGGCTAGATAACTGATCCCTGATGCCAGCAACACAATGAGCGGCGATGTTCGCTTTGGATTTTGGGCATTTCCACCTACGATTGAGACATAATAGGAAATAAAAATTAATAAAATAAATCATTGGATTGAGATATAATAAAATAAATCTATAATTACCTATTGCCTAGTGGAGCGTCCGGCACCAAGTAACTCTCATCTTTAACCTTCCTCTTCAGTTGAAGTCTTGGGATACGCTCCCAAACCCATAACCGAAATTTTAAATCAAACAGAAAAGGCACAAATTAGAAACACAAACAAAAATATAATAAAAAAATATAAATAAACAAAGAAACAAAAACATTTACCTACATCAGCATATAACATCCGGTAATGTCTTTTTTCCCGGGCGCGGAAGCTTGACACAAAGCAAAGTACAACTTCGCCAACACAGCTGACCCCCAACTGTAGGTAGCACAGACATCCAAATCCTCGAGTATTGTTAGGATCCAAAGCGGTATTCTGTTTCCCGTATTGTCAGGAATCAAGAAACCTCCAATCAGTAGTAAATGTAATGCATGGGCCCTATGTGTATAGGCCTCTCTTGGGCATTTTCTGGGATCGGACGCTTACACTCGTTGATTAAACACTCTACTAACATTGTGCAAAGAATCCAACTTCCAATCGTGACAATCGTGACTATTCTCTAACCAATTCCTTGCCACGAACAAACACACAGAGTCACAAACACACACACACACACACACACACACACAGAGTCATGAACAAACAAACACACACACACACACACACACACACACACAGAGTCACGAACAAACACACACACAAACACACAGAGTCACAAACACACACACACACACGCAGAGTCACGAACACACACAGAGTCACGAAAAAACACACACACAAACACCCAGAGTCACAAACACACACACACACACAGAGTCACAAACACACACACACACACAACAGAGTCACCGGGAAAAAGAAAACGAAACTGGTTTATTAAACTGAATTAACGGCACAAATTACCTGAATTATTAAACTGGAGTCGCCGAGGAGGGTGGAGTCGCCGGGGAAGAGTGGAGTCACCGGGGATGGAGGGTCACTGGGGAGAAATCACCGGTGCCAGGGGAGGGGAAATCGCCAGGGAGGGGAAATCGCCGGGTAGGGGAATCAGGTTAGGGCTGGAGAAGAAGGGGGAGTCGATTTTGACTCCCCCAAATTTTGATCAACCGTATATATAGTCCCCAAAAATCGGATTCCGCAAATTCGATCTATTCATTAAGTGAAAAGATCGGATTTTAGAAATCCGACCTTGGACAGAGAGTTTTGAAATTCGTTTCAAATTTTCACCAAAATCTGACCTTGGTCCAAAATCCGATCTTGGAGTAAACAGTGCAAAGATCGGATTCCAAATCCACATACAAATCAATATATATCGAATTTGGGAGGAAATACAACACTTGCAATGATGCGTCGTCCTTGATTTTGGCGATACGCCTAAAACCATTGCCCATCATATCATACAAAATCGATAGACTCAAATTCACATTCTCTCTATTCCACCCCGCTTTTTCACAAATTAGTCCAACCAAATCATTGTACAATACCTTATGATCAATCACAAAGGAATCATCCGGCATGTTGTTAAAAGTATTCACAATCCCATTCTTCACAACAAATTTGCTCGACCAATAGACATTAATGAAATATGGGCCGTTAAACGCCATTTATATCTGTTGATTACATGAATTACAACACATTATGAATAAATTGTTAAAAAAATGACACAAACAAGGCATTATCAAACAACTTATTATAACAATTACCACAAACAAGGCATAATCAACACTAAATTTACTAAACCCCCTACAAATTCAAAAGTTTAGGCCAAATTCAAGCATTTTACTAAATTGAACGTTCAATACCACTTATACAACAACAACCATCAACTACACCCAACATCAACCCTAAAACCTTATAAATCATCCTAGTTCTACACTTTTACAAAGAAAACAACAACAATAATTCTAAATACATCAAAACATTAACTAACCTTCTTGTGAAATGGTTTTAAGACATCCGTTGCGAAGAATCTTGAACAAAATCTTCAAATCGCCACTAAAATCACCTCCTCCTTCAAGAAATCGCCTCCTTTACCAAAATCCCGATATGTGAACAGTGTTTTCCGTCGCCCCATTATAACACAAAAAGGTCGGATTTCTAAAATCCGAGTTTATAAGTAAAATCGGATTTAGGAAATCCGATTTACAAGTAAGGTCGGATTTCAAGAATCCGACCTTCTGCCTGCTAATAACGTCAATTCAATGCCGATATCTACTGTTAGGTATGCTTAAACAAGGTCGGATTTTGTAAATCCGACCTTGTATTGTTCTTAATTTTCAAATCTCCTGCCTACATTTTTTTAAGAAAAATAAAGAAGGTCGGATTTTAGACTGTTCATTAGTTGACTTTCAAAACATTTTTCTTACATTTATTTTCCGAAAAAAAATTATTATTTTATTAAGTCGGATTCGTAAAATCCGAACTACTAGTTTAATTAGTAGTTGTTCGGATTTTGTAAATCCGATCTCCATATTTTGCTTTACAGAAAAAAAAAATTATATAGATCTTTCTACTCCTTTTTCTAGGCAATTTTTTAACCAAAGCACCCGTCTTTTCATCCCAAAGTTTGGGCCACACCATCCAAAACATCCCAAAGTTTAAGAACATACCATTTACATCCCAAACTTTTTAAAAACATGTTACATTAAGATATTCGTTAAATTTTTAACTCCAGTTAATTAATTAGTGGTAATACTTTATTCTGTTT